GGGCACCCACAGCCTCCTTGGGACATCTATAACCTCCTTGGGGCACCTACAGCCTCCTTGGGGCATCTATAACCTCCTGGGGGGCAACCACAGCCTCCTTGGGGCAACCACAACCTCCTTGGAGCATCCCCAGCCTCTGCCTGGGCAACCTGTGCCAGTGTCTCCCCACCCTCCCAGGGAAAACATCTTCCTAACATCTCATCTAACTTTCCCTCTTGGAATTTCTCCCCGTTGCTCTTTGTCCTGTCCCTGCAGTTCCTACCCAAGTCCCTCTGCAGCTTACCTGGAGCTCACTGAGCTCCGTCTTCCTCATAAGATATACCCAGAGCCTCTTCTCCAGGCTGAACAACCTCAACTTTCTCAGCCTGTGCTCCTAGGGAAGATGCTCCAATCTTCTGATCAGCTTCTTGGCCTCTTCTTGTCTCACTCCAACAGTTCCATGTTTTTCTCGTGTTGGAAAAACCACAACTGTGTGCTGTAAAATTTGCAAAATAGAATCCCTGTGAGACTTCCCTGTGATGTCTCCTGCCCTTCAGGCTCTTGCCTGGACCATCTATTTCTCTGGTGGGCACCAGGACATGGGCATAGCATGGGATCCACCTGTGGTGCCACCTTGGAATTCTGTCCCGCGGCAGACGGAGCCGGAGCGGAGCCATGGGCTGGTTTCTCCTCTCCAAACCTGATCCCTGAGGAGATCCCTCTGTCCTAACCCCAATGTTCTCCTCTCTTCCTCCCTTAGGATGTGTTTGGCGATGACTCCGAGGTGTCCAAGGAATCCTCCGGCGTCAAGAAGCAGCGACGCATTCCGCGCTTCGAGGAGGTTGAGGATGAGCCTGAGGTCATTCCAGGTCCACCGTCGGAGAGCCCAGGAATGCTGACCAAGCTCCAGGTCAGTCTTAACTGTTGGAGATCCTGAATTCCCACCTGGTTTAGTGTTTCTCTTAACTCTATCCCAAGCAGAACGAGGCCCCAACACCTAAAAATTCCCTGTGCTTCTCCCACAGATCAAGCAGATGATGGAAGCAGCCACGCGGCAGATCGAAGAGAGGAAAAAGCAGCTGAGTTTCATCAGCCCTCCAACACCACAGGTACCTCCTGGAGACTCCAGCCAATCCCACCAGTCATGGCTTGACTTGAGGGTGCTGGAACATTCCTAGCACTAAAATTCCTTCTCTGCCGACAGCCCAAAATCTCTTCGTCGTCGCAGTCGGAACGTCTTCCCATCGGGAACACCATCCAGCCCTCACAGGCTGCCACCTTCATGAATGATGCTATTGAGAAGGCCAGGAAAGCTGCAGAACTCCAGGCCAGGATCCAAGCCCAGTTGGCTTTGAAACCAGGTCTCATCGGCAACGCCAACATGGTTGGCTTGGCCAACCTCCACGCCATGGGCATCGCGCCGCCGTGAGTACCTGCCGAGCCGCAATGCCGTGCAGGGCTTGGCCAAAGGTTCCTCCAGGGCCATAAATTCCTCAGCAACGACCTTAAAAGCTGCTGGAGGGTTAAGTTTTATGTTAGAGATGCAACAGAGGTTCCTCCAACCTTGGCCAACACTCCCAACTGGTGCAACACGAGGTTGGAGTTCCTCCTGCTGAGGTGTGCCAAGATGAGGCTGGGAAATAAAGAGATGCACTCAAATTTTCCAGGAGTTAATGGTGTATTCCCACATTTTTCCCCTCAGGAAAGTGGAGCTGAAGGACCAGACCAAACCCACCCCACTGATCCTGGACGAGCAAGGCCGAACGGTCGACGCGACGGGGAAAGAGATCGAGTTGACCCATCGCATGCCAACCTTGAAGGCAAATATCAGAGCGGTGAAGAGAGAGCAGTTCAAGCAGCAGCTCAAGGAAAAACCTTCAGAAGACATGGAGTCCAACACGTACTTCGACCCCAGGGTGTCCATCACCCCTGCCCAGCGTCAGAAACGCACCTTCAAGTTCCACGAAAAAGGCAAATTCGAGAAGATTGCCCAGAGGTTACGAACGAAGGTAGGGGAGGCCTCACCTCGCTCTCCTAGGGTGGGAAGGGAGCTGGAGGTGGCTTTGGGTTGTAAGTTGAGTAGGAAAGTCAACTGGAACATCTCCCTGGTCATGGTGGGTGTCAAGTTAGGGTGTGTGGACAGGGAATTTCTCTCCTGGCTCCACATGGTGAAGGACAAAATCTTTGTGTGTG